TCCACACCCACACCACTCCTTGAGAGTCCCTGATCTCGTACGTTTTAACACAAGCTGAACGAGGGATTTTGGCATCAGCTGGAAGCTATAGAAATATTGTAGTTAGTGACATCTTATACCATCAATTTCAGAAGCGACTGGGGCAAAATATGAGCATTGAAGATAGGTGAAACAGACCTGAGGTATCTTCACACATTTCCCTTCGCCTTCAAACTGCCAACCATGGTATAGGCACTCAAGCCTACCATCAACCAATTGGCCCTCAGATAGTTTGGCTAACCTGAATCAAACAACTACTGAGGCTCTCAAGTTGCTAACCCAATTTCAATTTCTAAGTAATTAATTGAATTTAGTCTCTAAAAATTCTTAAATCGATATAGTGAATAAACAAATTGGGAAGCTTCAATGGCTAAATAGTTTATGCATGAATCTTTCAGGAACAGAACCTGGTTTTATATCTTAATTACGCAATTACCTGTGTGGGCAACGATCTTCGTAACAGTGAAGTTCGCCATTCCCGTCCTTGAACAATACGAGCTGCTTATCAAACACTTTGAGACCTAGAGGCGCATCGTCGGGCACATTTTGAGTGAGATACAGGGGGTACCATTCTTCGGTCCAGTCGTAATCCGCAACGTCCCGATCACCTCTAAGCTCTTCCTGGCTGGAAGGACCCACAAGAACCTTGTGATCTTCCTCGTCTTTGTGATCAAGCGAAGGTGCATCTTTCACATCTGCGATGGCGCCACACCTTGCATGCCTCCCCCTCGCTGATAATTGTTTGAAGGGCTGTGATGAGAGAGAGCAAAGAAGTACCGGTGGCGAATTCTGCTTCGATGGCCGGTGGGAAAGACGAAAAACCAGAGAAGTTTGAAACGGGTTCACCAAAGCCATGATTGGCTGGGTTCGGAAACTGAAGAAGGAAGATGGAGGAGAGAAATTGCCAGAGGCTGGTAAGAGTAAAGAAATTAGTCAATTGTTGTGACCGAACCAAAGAGGGAAGAGAAGAAGGACGGGACTTTGTCATCATTTGGTAGTAGTTTGTTCGGAGGATACTTGTGCAATTCCTGGCCACACAACCTGAGGCCCGAAACAATCACACCGCTACGTATGAATACTTCGATTTTAGAGTTTTTTTGGGGGCCAAACACTTTGCTTATAGAGATGATTGACGTGCACTGGACAATCTCTCCGAGCATTATCGATCCAGTTTTGGTGTTTTAGAGAAAGCAACCGTGGCTGTATTACAATTTTACAGCCTGCAATCAAAGAAAAGATAAATCTGGTCAACGAGAAAATGAAAGGGAATATGAGTGTGCCGTAAGGCGTTCTAAAATTCAGGAACTTTTTAAGTAGATGATTGATTAAACTTAACTCGTATCTTGAACTTGCTAAATAAATTCGTCGAAAAATAAGATCAAAAGGGAATATAAATATCTTGTAAAATGTCCTGGAGTTGACAATCAAAATAAAAACATTAACTCAAGATGTAGTATGCCTTCTATCACCTTAATTACTCGAACGTAAATTGGGGTGTGAGTTTAGAAGAGAAAAAGAGAGGGAGGGCCTCAGCTGAGCAAGTGCATGCACTTCTTTTCCTTTTTCAGTAAACTGCGAGAATCTATTTCCTCCTTTTTCTGGGCTGTCTCCGCATCTCCGATGATTATATTTGAGGCTAGCTGGATCTCCATTAAGATCAACGGGTTATAGATTCAGAAGTGGGCAGTGCATTTTTTGAAGGAAAAAATTGTTTGGGGATGTTCTTTAAGAAGCCACCCTAACCTTCCTTGCAAGTTGTATTATCAACTGCTGAGTACAGTGGAACTATAAAGGATGGCGACTGCCATCATTTTCTACTACCCTGCAGTTTCAGTTATCAGACACAGCGAACTTGTTCCTGGTATCAAATTTACTGCTCTTCGTTTCACTGATCTTGTACTGTACGGTTTCTCCTCTGTGTTCTATTTATTGACATTGTCAACAGCCAGCCCAGTTTAATCTTTTTCTTTCATTTAGCCTTACCTTTCTGTTCAGTGTATAAAGTAGTATGATTTTCCATGAAGTTTATTTTCTTAGGGTTTGATTTCATTTGGCTTGCAGATTTGTGCTTCCACACCTAATACATATTCCACTTGTCCCATTTTTCTGGGCAACCTAAAAACACCAATAACATCTAGTCATAAATATCCCATGGCTCTGCTGCATCAACTGTGAAATAATGACAGCTCGGGCGCTTCTCTTTCCTCCTAATAACTTTTTACTGCGTTTTAATATTTATCTTTCTTGGTAATGTGGATTGCCAAATGGGGGGGCTTCTATGGTTAAGGATGGGTCCTGAAAGCGCATTTGAATAAGACACCAAATATTAAAACCAATTAAATGAAAGAAAACAGTAGTAGCACTAATAGAGCTGGGAACAAGGAACTTAAATGCTTGCTGAAGGAGTTAAACATTGATAGGCTAGAGGGAAATTGCATGACCAAAACCCCATCTACCTCCTGACATCACCGAACCACATAAATGTAGCTTTTAATACACACGGCTTCATTGCCACCTCCTCTTTTGTTTTATCTTTCCCATTATAATCAAGTAACAAGAGACTCCATGCTCTATGTAAATGCTACGCTTCAAGTCTAAGAACGACTAGACTAAATGGAGCCGAGGGCAATAGTTTTTTCCACGGCAGTTTTCCTTGTTTTCAGCTTGTTTATTGCAGGCTCCGTTTCAGGCAACCTCTCTTACAACTTCTATGCTGCTTCATGCCCTTCTGCAGAGTTCATTGTAAGAAACACTGTCCGTTCTTTCTCTTCTGACGATCCCTCCATTCCCGGAAAGCTCCTTCGCTTGGTCTTCCATGATTGCTTCGTGGAGGTTAGTGTTCCTATGCCATTCCCTTACAAACCCTTGTATTAAGGTTTCTTGGAAATAAAGAATTTTCCTCTATCTGTTTTAATTTGATTGCAAAAAATGAAAATGTAAAGAATACTCAAACGGATTTGAAGCTGAGATAACCTCAGGGTTACGTGCAACGGAACTGCAAGCTAATCGAGACTGTGCACTAAGTGTTGGCTTTTCTGTTCAATCATGGCTCATAGTGGCCACAGACATCCCTCCTCAGTGCAAATGATTGGTTCGCGATATGCAGGGATGTGATGCATCGTTGACGTTGCAAGGGAACAATACAGAGCAAAGTGATCCAGCAAACAGGTCAGTGGGAGGATTTTCAGTGATAGATTCAGCAAAAAGAGTGCTTGAGATTTTCTGCCCAGGAACCGTTTCTTGTGCTGACATAATTGCTCTGGCGGCGAGAGATGCCGTTGAAGCTGTAAGTTTTCTTATTCCCTCACCGCAATGCTGTTAAATGTTCAATCTTCAGTAAGCACAATAAAGTTCTGGTATGAGTGATATGGAACTGGAGAACAGGTTGGTGGACCCGTAGTTGAGATTCCCACGGGCAGGAGAGATGGGATGGTTTCACTGGCTTCCAATGTCAGACCCAACATTGTTGACACCAGTTTTACAATGGATGAGATGGTCAAGCTCTTCTTCTCCAAGGGATTGTCCCTTGACGACCTTGTCATTCTTTCAGGTTATCACTATTATTAATCTTCATTTCTTTCACTCTCAATCGTTTCCCCCTTCCTTTGATTATTGACAATATATGGGTGCATGTATCTGCAAATATTGGTTTTGGCTCTGATTAGTGGAAGTTTATTAACGGTAAGTTTTGCAGGGGCTCATACCATAGGATCAGCCCACTGCATCTCTTTTAGGGACAGGTTCCAACAAGACTCAAAAGGGAGGCTTAGGCTGGTTGGCAATGACCTTGACAGTAGTTATGCAAATGAACTGATGAGAGAGTGTGGATCAAATTCAAACCCATCTGTAACAGTTAACAATGATCCTGAAACATCTATGGTGTTTGACAACCAGTATTACCGGAATCTGCTGGCTCACAAGGGTCTGTTCCAGTCGGATTCTGTTCTGCTGAGTGATAACCAAACAAGGAAATTAGTGGACGATCTGGCAAATGACCAGGAACTTTTCTTTCAGAAATGGAGCCAATCATTCCTGAAGCTGACCATTGTTGGAGTGAAAACAGATGAAGAGGGTGAGATTCGACGATCTTGTGAAGCTACTAATGCATAAATTGGTGGATTGATTTGTCCATTCTTTGTTTGTTAGCGTGGGATGTTTTTCATTGCAGAAAGTCTAGCATGTGAGACACTCACTGTTTCTGAAATAACGGGACCTAGAATAATGTTTGTCACCTCTATAACAATCCTTATATTCTCTGATTTCATCTGAAACAAAATTAAAATGGAGCGAGTGAGATTGGAAGCTTATGGAATCTGACGTCATTGTCACTGGGATATCTTTGAATATACATGGACGTTTAAGTGAACATTCGTATTTGTTAAGGAACAAGATAAGGCAACCTCACGAGATTGATGATTACCGCTGCCACCGTTTATTGCTTAATTTCCAGCTCACGAACATCTCAGGACTACTGGTTTCCAACACTTAACTTCGATACAAACACAAAAATGCAGGAAAAGTGGAAATTTTAACTCTTTCAGTTTTGTGCGCCAAAAGCAGGGGATGGCTAGGCTATCCAAAAAATATACTCATTTGACCTCTCTTTCTTCTGTACAGTTATTTTATTTTCATATATAAGAAAGCACATCTGTATACCCGACACAATAATCATACTGGAACTCTCACAATTCGTCAGTTTCATCACATGGACATATTCATCTTGGTGTTTTGGTAGCTGGCATAAAACTAGTTCTTGATCTTCTAGAGCTAAAATCATAACTCTATGGCTAAAGTGTAATAAATTCACACTCTTTTCGGTGACTTTCTAGTTGAATGAATTAATATATCAACATACAGAAACTTAAGTGATTGGAATTCCAGAAGCACACCTCATAGAGAGAGAGATAGAGAGAATTCCTCTCAATCATTGCCTTCACCAACCAAAAGGGAGATACATGGAATTTAACACAAAAGACAATAGCTAAAGAAAACTGATTTAATAATCAACAGATTTGGAGAATTGACAAAATTCCTTCACATGATCATCAGAGTTACAATCTGATCAATGTCGATGCAGTCACTGCTTGAAATGGTAAGTGATGCAATCAAATACTATAATAGAACCGCGAGTAGTTAAGAGTCCGAGGACTTACGAACTCTCGAAGGAATGACCGAGCAGAAATTTTCGGCAGACTATGAAACGATCCTTTCAAATGAACTATATCGAGTAAAGATTTCCTACAAGAGCAATCCGAGGTTCACCAAACTTAATGTTCAATGAATCAATCTGTTGGTGTTGGTCATTGAATCTTTTTTCCTTGGGGTTGTCTGAAGTTCGCTAATTTATAAAGCGAATATACCTACAATCAAAATGAGGGGAGAAATTACAGCTATGCATGATGAATGAAATAAAGTGGGGAGGGAAGAAAACTGAGGGGTACCAATGCAATGACATGAACTGCTACGAGAAAAAGCACTGCAACAGTAACTGTGTCGGCGAACCATGATGGCGACGACGAGTAATGCTCTCTCACCATTCTACTCAGAAATTCGTTAATACCGCAGACGGCGGAGATGCCTGGTTAAGTTTTCTTTCAGATCTTCTTTGGCCGGCAGTTTTCTTTCAGATCTACTGCTTTGTTTTCTTTTTCATTTGAAAAAATAATTTTAAGCTCCTTTACCCGTTCAAAGTTATTGAACTTCCTCCCAAAAATGACCTTTTTTTCCTCTGATCTGATTATGTTGTTGGCATAGAACTCATTTTACACATCGAATTTTATAGTATGAGTGAAAATATGAACATTTAGCTCAGGCCTCAGGATTTTTCGCGAAATGGTACTCCTAAGTTAATAACTTACATCGCTTAGTAAGGAAGTGTGTCTCGTTGACTCACTAAATTAGCACCCAAAAAAAAAAAAAGACTCACTATGAGAGTTTTAAATCGTTTTTCTTTTCATTGAAAAAATAATTATGGCGTTTCTTTCTAGACAAATGGGCTGATGAGCCCAGCATAAATATGGACTTAAGAGAGGGGCCCCACCTCCCGGGTCTAAAAACAGTCCCGGATGATGGATCCTGAGGCTGTTGCGAGAGGAGTCGGGTAATTTATCAAAAATTTCATCCAAGCCTAATTTCTTTTATATTCTCATCATTTTATGATGCATGTAAATAATGTTCGACAAAGTTAACTGGGCAATGTCAAGTTCATAAAATGAAATACTTATGTCATGACTGAAATAAAACTTAAAAAAATGAATATATGTAATATGGCCAAAAAAAAAAAACAACAACAACAACAGACAAGACAAATTGTTTTGGCGAGGACCGACTTTGCGAAGCTTACGAGATTTCTGAAGTTAGGATTGGATCCTCCCAACTTTTGCGCTGGACTTCGAATTGGGTTCATTTTCCTTGGTCAAATTTTTTAGGCAAGCAATTATGCGTGGAATTTATTCATGAAAATTAAAAGAGTGTACTTCTAATTTAAGCACCGAAGCAATTTTAGAATTTCCTTCTTCTTTTAACTGGGGAATGGGGTTTTTGGGATTTTATTCTCTGTGCCAAAACCTGGGCATGGTTGCCTAAATTATACTTTAGAGAAAATTTCAATCAAGGAGCGTTATAGCAAATTTATTTCAATCAGCCCCCAAAACAATCTGAAACTTCACCGCAAGACCTGGGGGTAGTGAAATTAATTGGACAAAGAAAAAAAAAAGCAAATATCCCTGTTAACTTTTGCTCCTGAAATTGAACAGAAGAGGACCAAAAATCAAGATAAACTTTCATCATACTCTTCCCTCTCTTGCATGCTCTTTCCTTTGCATCTTAGAACTCGCCATCCGTCTACTGATTGTGGTGCTCTGAAAAGTCACAGAAATCATCCAAAGAAGATTCATTTTCATTTGTTGTGCTGGTTCTGTCACTCTTAAAACTCGCATATGGATCTATTATTAGGCTTTAATGAATTTGTTATTGTTCGAATATGAAAAGTCTCTGTTCTTTGAGATACTTGATTGTGGTTGTTATAGTAATAGTGGGTATTTTGTCTGGCATATTTGTAAGTCTGATAATCCTGTTACTTGAATGGGTGCTGTGAAAGCTAAATCTGTAGAAAAAATGATAACTTGATGTTGCTAAAATATGTATTCGCATTATAAATTTGTAAATTCAAGTTGTCTAGGAAAATGGCAATTTGTGTTGTGAAAACCTATATATCTGTTGCCAGTTCACAAATTTCTATTGTAAACATATATAGTTAGGATATTAACAATAACAATTAGTGACTTTACAGCATGATATTATGGAATTTTGCCTATCATAAGCAAGAATGGTGCAAGAACATAGAGCATGGCAATTAGAGAAACACTTGAACCAAGTTCTGGAATATGAAGTCAGTTGCTATTGCAAAACTACTTCAACAGATAAAGACACAACAGAAAAGAAAGCGATGACATGGCAAATTGTTGAATTTTCTGTTTGACATGTAATTTAAGCTACTTGAAACTATGTTAAAAGTTGTGAATAGAGAATTTGAACAATTTTCTTTTTAGGAAATATATTATGAGTATGTTGCAAGTTAATTAATTGTAATCTTTAGTCTTTTCTTACCAATTTACAAGTGTGTGATATATTATTCACAACTGGAATTAGAAAATATGCAATATGAATAAGTTAATTTGTTAGAGAAACTCATCCATTTGCAAACAAGCTAACATAACTAAAAAGTTGAATATGATAACATAACAAGTCTGGAGAGATTATTCACAAGTGAAATTAGAAAATTTGCAACACGGATGTGCACATTAACAACAAGAACTTGTCTATTTACAAATAAACTAATATGATTAAAAAAGTTGGACATGTTGATTCACAGGTCTGAGAGGACTTAATTGAACTAAAATTATAAAAATTGCAATATGCATACATATATTAACAATAACAATATGTCCATCTACAAGTGAGGTAGTTGAATCGAGGAAGTTGAACATGATTCACAAGTCTAAGAAAGCCTGTTTGTAACTAGAATTAGGAAATTTGCAACACGTATATGTATATTAACAACAACATGTCTATTTGCAAGCGAGCTGGTTGAATTGAAGAGGTTGAACAATTTAAGAGTTTGAGAGGACTTATTTGCATCTGACATTAGGAAATTTGTAACAAGAATACATATATTAATGATAAAAACATGGCCACTTGCAAATGAACTAGTTAAATTGACAAATTGATTATAAGTTTGGAAGCGAGTGTTCATTCATAACTAGAAATAGAGAATTTACAACAAAAATACATATATTGACAATAAGAATATGTCTATTTGCAAGTGAGTTAGTTGAATTGACAAGTTGATTATAAGTCTAGGAGCAAGTGTTCATTCACAACCAAAATAAAGAAATTTGCAACAAGAATATATGTATTACCACCAGTTACATCGTCTTCCATCTACAAGTGGAGTATTTAAAATAAAAAGTTTATGCACAAGTCTGGATGTTTCATTCATAACTGGAATTAGGCAATTTGCAATAGGGATACATGTGTTAATAATAGAAATACATCTATTCATAAGTGGATAAAGATTTTCATACATTTGCATTACTGTCAGCCAATTTCAGTGCAGTGTTGAGGATGGCTTATTGTCTAGTACCATCATGACATTTTTCAACTAGCACATCACTATGCAAAATAGATTCCAATTTACCACAAAAAATATTAAATGGGTTGTCATAGCTACTTCTTCAATCAATCCAAAAATACATATCGAGATTCATTCATGTGCAAAAGCGGCTCTATATTAAACCAAAAAAGACTATTTTCAACAATAAAGTCACACAGGGTTCAAGGACAAGTCTTTCTAGCATGACCAGCTTCACTACATCTTAGGCAATGATATACTTTCTTCTACTAGAATTGTGATTCAATCCTCCTAGTTCTAAGTCTTTTAGGATGGCGAGTAGTCAATGGTGATTGCAGTTCTTCACAACTTCACTTCCCACATGGGAGATGCAAATTAATTGTTTTCCACTACTGCTAGCCTTTTGTTATCTGTAGCTGCATATCATTCAAGTATCAATTTCAATCAACTTTCAATAATTAAACATAGTGTATACTTATAACAGAAATTTGCGAATTAGCAACAGATATACAAGTTTTCACAACACGAATTGTCATTTTCCTAGACAACTCGAATTTACAAATTTATAATACAAATACATATTTTAGCAACATCAAATTATCATTTTTCTAGATTTAACTTTCACAGCACACATTCAAACAACAGGATTCTCAGATTTACAAATATACCAAACAAAATACCTACTATTACTATAACAAGCAACAATCAAGTATCTCACAGAACAGAAAATTTTCATATTTGAAAAATAATAGATCCATTCAAGCTTAATAACAGATCCATATGTGAGTTTTGAGAGCGAGAGAACCAGCACAACGAACGACAATGAATCTCCTTTGGACAATTTTTGCGACTTTTTAGAATGCCACAACCAGTAGACAGATGGCGAGTTCTGATGTGCAAAAGGAAAGAGCATGCGAGAGAGATTTCAGTATGAGAAAGGAAAGAGTATGATGAAAGTTTATTCTAATTTTCAGTCCTGTTTTGTTTAATTTTAGGAGCAAAAGTTAACAGGGATATTTGTGTCTTTTTTTTTGTCCAATTAATTTCACTTTCCCCTTTAGGTCCTGTAGTAAAATTTCATATTGTTTGGGGGCTGATTAAAATAAATTTGCTACAGCAGTCTTTGACTGAAATTTTCCCTATATTTTATTTGATCTCACTTTCTTCACTCTGATCTGTATACCCATTACAATAATCATCCTGGGATTCCCGGAATCTACACATGTTCGCCATCAATTTCACACGGACACGTTCATCTTAAGCTCGCATAAAACTAGTCCCATCTCATTAGAAAAAAGCCAAAATCGTGACAGCGGGTCTGCTAAAGCGTACTATGTTCATATTCTTTTCGCGGCCAACTTCATAACTCAATGAATTAATATATCAGCGCAAAAAAAGATGATAAATTTATCAAAGCTCGACAGTGCGATATTCACGGAGCACCACATGGCACGCCCACGTGCCCAAAGCACGCCTCGAACAGAAAAAGAGGGGGGGGGGGAGGAAAGGAAAAGCAAATAATTTAAAAAACTCCCCCGTTACCTTCACCAACCAAACACGAGATTCATGGAATTCAATATCCTCGGCTTCTATTCATAAACTTCTAATTTAAAAAAAATTGTATTCTATTTTACAAGTTTTAATTTAAGTTTACCTTAACGTTTAATGTATTTTTTAATGTTATCCTTAGTTATTTTTCTATTATTACATTTTCCCACACATTTTTTTTAATTTTTTTTAAGAACATATTTGAAAACAAAAGTATATTTTTAATCTATTTATTATCTTTAACTAATTTTAACTAATTATTTGTTATTTGTGAATTAGCTAATAATTACCAGAAAGAGTATAATACTACCAGGAACGATACGAATGCATGGTTAGCAAATGAAATATTCAAGCTGACTGCTCAAGAGCAATCCGAGGTTCACCAAATTCGATGAATCCGTTGTTCAGTGAATCTCTGTCTTCTTTGGGACTGTTTCACCATCGCTAACTGCATTTAAAAGTTAGAAGAGGGAAAAATTATCACTATGAATCATGCATGATGAATGAAACAATAAGGGGGAGACTTGAGATGGGTTAGGGATCATTTAAAGTGATTGAACTTTTTTATTAGGTTCTCGGTGTATGCAGACATTAGAATTTTACGCAGTTAAAAGTATATGTACAGTTGGTGGAAGTATGAATTTATCTCAGAACGAGAAGAAAAAAAAGAAATTTGAATTTGCGCGTATTAAGAATGAAGTAATTCCAGGGTAAGAAAGATTATTCTGAAACATGAGCACCAGATCCCAGCGTATCTCAAGTCCCAACAGCAGGCATCACTGCCCTTTCAGGTTGTGAAGTGGACAGCGTGGGAATAGACTAATATTCAAGGATAGGGAAGGGTGCATCAACAGAATAGGAAGGTTTTGAAAATTTTAAGTGGAGCTAAATTGAAGAGTATTCCATTTGTTGAGGACTGGGTTAAAAAATATAGAAACAAAAAGAAAAATTCATTCTCAATCCGCCCATGCAAGACTCAAATAATTTTTCAACAATAATTACGGCATAGCAACTCAACTACTGAAATGAAAGAAAATGTCAACAACAATAATATAACAACTCATGTGCATAAGAAAAGGAAGAATAGAAGAAAATATAGAAGGAAAGAGAATGGGGGGAGGAGGAGGACTCAGAAACAGTGGAATGTCGGCAAGGCAATTGATATGCTCTTTACGCACGACGAGCGAACCAACTCATATCTTCATCGTCCTCCCCAACCCAATAAACAGAACAAACCAGAACAAGGGATAGGAGGAGAGGGTATGAGCAGATTAGCAGTGCAAACCGAAGCACATTTAAATAGACCATTACTTCGTTGTTTTTTTAATAAGGAAATTAAAAAGGCGTCGTCTTATTATGCTGCCTGTAGCTGTATGCATGTGCATGCCTTGCTGTCCAAGTCACTGACCTACTCCCCCAAAATAGTGCCCTCCAAATTACTACCTCTGCTCCTTAATATAAGATCCTATTTAACTTTTATTTTAGTCCTAAATATAAGACCCTAATCCACTTTATCACTCATATTTACTCTTTTTTTTCAAAATAATTCTTCTAATAATTATAGTTCTAGTTAATACACTTGATTAGTAAGGATATTTTAGGAAATACAACACATATTTAGGACAAATAACTAACTCAATTTACTTCCTTAATCTCCTCAAATTAGTCAACTAGCTCTTATAATTAGGACCGGAGGTAGTATAAAATGAACAAGTTGGTCACGTTTTTGACGCTTTGGTCCCCTCCAGCCCGCCGCACCCCCCATTTTCTTCAGTCCTTTGTTTGGAGAGCAAGGCATGGAATAAATGAACATGACGTGTTTGACCTTTGAATTATGGGGTTTCTTGGGAGGCCCGATAGGCCGAATATCGGGTTCGTATCTTCATCTCCAAAGTCCAAATATTATTGGGCTTCTTGACCAGCAAGCCTCCCGCCAAACCCTGAATGCCACAATCCCCGTTTTCCTTCCATCCGCTTTATGTTCTCACTGGTAAACATGAAAATCACTTCTTAAGGCAATGCAAAATTGATAAAATTAAATAATTGTATTGTGATCTGATAAAATTGAAGGTTGCGAATGAGGGGAAAAAGAGAGGGAGAGCATATCCCAGACCCGAAGGCGGCGCTTGACTCGTGGAACTCACATATGTCATGCATGACTTATGTTTCAGTTTATTTGCAATTTATAGAAATTGTTGAGAGCCTTGTCGGGATGAGTCTTGGAACTTGAGCTGCGGTTTTCCTACCAAATTTGGGTCAAGTGAAGTTCGCTTGATTTGGTTCCGTGAGTTTCAGAGAAGCAATCCTGAGACGTGCTCGCTCTCTCTTTTCCTCCTCTCTTCACAAACTCATTCGCCCCCGCATTATTCATTTATTCAAAGTGCCATATTTCGCATCATACTCTTTTTATTTTTAATATAAGACCTATTTAACTAATTTGATTAGATTAAAAAAATTAGATAAGCTAGTTAATTATAAAAAATATAACAAGTTTTTCTTAAACCACCACAATCATCTTCTTTAATATCACCTCTCTTACTTCTATTTGATTAAGAGAGTATCCGGATAATTTAAAAAAAATTAATAACTATGAGAAATGAGTCTTTTATTTAAAACTAAAATTAATTCAACATGTCTGTATTATTATTTTATTTAGATAACTATTCCCAGTCATTGTCTTGTTCTCGGGATGTTGTGCGCCTTTGCTGGACTATGAACAGAGAACCAAAGAAAACTCTGCCCTCGCAGGGATCCGAACACAGAACGGATCCTGCGCACGCTACCTTCGTTCAACTTTACTCTTCTGTTACTATAATCTCTCTCTCTCTCTCTCTCTCTATATATATAATTTCATTCGGTTAAAGAATATAAAAAGACATGGCACACATCAACAACTCGTTTTTTGCTTCTCCTTATTATTATTTATTTAGAGGACCAACATGAATAAATCCCACTCACTGCATCTCATTTGAAAAAAAGAAAAACCTTTAATAGTCACTATAGAGCATAACTCTATTGTACTAACGCAGCGCAAAAATACTCTGCACTGTCAGGAATTGAGAATCCATTCATCTCCTTACTTCGTTTCTTTATTTGTTTAGGAAAATGTGAGAACTTTCTGTGTTTTCCAAAAGAAGAGGCAAACTTGAACCTCCAAAGATGCACATTACTGGCTGTAGTTAATGGTCAGCGCATGCAAAGTCAACAGTAAAAGCGACGCGGCCTTCCGCAGCCGTCCTGTCTATTACTCTCGTGAATTCATCCCATCAACTCCTCAAGGCCTCAGCTAATCCCCTGCGGTGCTCCTCCAATACAATCCATATCTCACACGTGTCGCCCACATTTTCACTCTCTGCTCTCATTTTATTTCAAACGCTGTGAAAGTTTCCCAGACTCGTAACTTCCTAACTCCTTCTTCCTCCTTCACAATGAGAATCTCAAAATCAGAAATAAGTTCTGCAATATGTGAAGAAACTAACACAAGTGATGACGCCTTATATATTCTAGTACTGCCATCTGGCTGTCCTCTGAGTGAAACATGGCTCGTCATTTATAAGTTCTTCTCGACTAGAATTTACACTTCCCGAATCATGGAAGACCAATAAGGTCGATGGCCCAAAACCCAGAAAACGGGCAAAATAAAAACAAGGAGAAGTAAAAATGGTCACAAATAATGAAGACAAATGTGATTCTCAATTTCTCACACTCCCTCGCGCTCAAATCTAAGATCTAAAACAAACAAGACCAAAAGGAGGAGGCAGGAAACTTGTCTTCATTGCTGGTTTTGTCGTTGCTCGTCTTGGTTACCTTGTTGATTTTCGCACTCCGTCTCCTTCTCCTGTTTCTCAGATCTCTCTTGAGCGTCGACACCAACCTTGCAAATTCCATCTCCCAGAGATGAAGCCTTAGAGCAGACAGGGGTGGCCAAGAATGTGGGATTCTCATCTCCAGCCATGATGACCAGAATCTTCTCCTCGAAGACGGTGACGGTTTCGTTGTTGGCAGAGTCACTCTGTTTCTGGACATCGCCGCTCTCCAGGTCTCGCTCGGACCCTTCTTCGCTTTGCAAGAAACCAGAAAGTTTCCAGTAAGAACAAGCCAAGATCAAAAGAGCAAAGGCTATGAGGCCCAGCATGGCAGCGAGCCCTCCGAAGAGGTAAGGAACCGGAGAGTGCCATGGAGAGCGTTGCACAGAGCTCAATGAAGAAGCACCAGGGGCCAGGGAACTTGAGGGACTGAAAGAGTTGGGAACAGTTCTCATTTCAGCTTTTTGGGTAGCTTTTACTGTGGGAGTAAAGAGAGAGTAGAGGATGGTTAGATGTAGGGGAAGAATGTGAATGTGAAGTGAAGAAGAAGGGAGAGGAGAGGCAGGGTATTTATAAGGAGCGAGAAAGAAAGAAGTGTAGATGAAGATGATTGGACAGCCGTGCGATGCACGGGACACTTGTGTTGGCTTTTTTTGCACGGGACTTGGCAAAGGGGACAGAGCACAGGGTTACTTGAATAGGCAGCGGTAATAGTAACCAACCCTTGCGTTTGATCATGGGTTAGGTGGTGCTAATCTTGTGTTTTTGATTGGACTTAAAGCGTGGTGTGGGTCCCCTTCGCGGGATTTATTCCTTCTTCCCCTGATGATTTCAGTTACTGCTTTCACATCGTATGAGAATTTATAATTCTCATATATAACATTGATCATATACAAATACTAATTATAGTGATTCTTTTGCTTCAGAATATAACAAGTCAGAAAAAAAGGGTTAACTATATTCATGTTTCGCTGCAGAACGGAGGGCGATTGAAGACAGAAAGGGATGTTTTGCCTCTCAAATGTTGTCTGTTTGGCAATGAAATTTGGGAGTACTGCCTAAGAATATGAATGAGATGTGGTCATTCAAATTTGTGAGAGAAATGGCTTTTTGTCTGCACAAACGGGCATACCCAGAGACAGAGAGATCAGGGAGAAGATGTTAATGGCGGATGGAGACAGGATGATGTCACATGGGAACAATGTCATTTAGCTTTTAATCTGGTATTCGGGAAGAGTGGGGCTAGGATGAAGAAAATAAGGAGATGCAGAAAATGATAATATTGTTGCTTTATGAGATGCGCAGGCAAGGAAAGAGGCAGTGTTAATATTCTCAGACTCCACTAACACTGCCCAATAATGCGCATGGAAAGGAACGCTTGAGGGGAGATGATGTCATAATTATATTATTTTAGTAATTGAGGAACAATATTAAAATGACAGGGAAATTAGAGAGAGAGGGAGAGTAATCCACTGGGGAGGGGAGGGGAGGGAGGAGGGGCACAGTGAAAGCGCACTAAGCGGGCGATGGCATAATGAAAAGAACGACACAAAAAAGATCAAGTAGGGTGATAAAAGAGAATACCAAGTGTGGGCAAAGTGGAAACAAAGCTAATACAGCTTTCCTTTTGTTTCATCATTTTGCATTCCCCTTTATCTGATTTAAAATGCAAACTTCATTTCATGTGGGGTTCCTATTCATTTGGGTGTGAGCTTCCTATAATTACACAACAATCATTAATTCACATCCCACATCCAATTGCTGTTCCTTTTCACTCTTTTGCTTATGTGCTTTCACATCTGCACTGCTCCAATAAATTCTTGATTTAATTGGTGGTGTAATAACATTATATTCCCATCCATTATATCCTCCCAAATCACACTCCTCAAATGCTGCTGTTATTCCCTCACCAAGTTACCACTTGAATTGTCACATATTGCTCCATGACTCACATCCACAACGCTGCAAGTCAATGGATCTTTGGCCATATCTATGTGATGTACCACGTGAAAACAAGAACCGATTCATGGTTTATTAATTAAATTCATTTTAACAACAACTTTAGTCAGTTCCTTTTAATGTGTATGGTCCCCTTGTACTCTGAACAGACGTGGATGACTTTTTGACTAATCGGCATTAAACTCGCTCATGAAATTCACTTCGTCATTGATGGTCAAAATATCGTTCCATATCATGCAAAACTGCTCCCATCTCAGTGAGGTGTTTAACATTAATTGATTAATTTGAGTTAAGTCAGTTATTTGTAATAAATAGTATTAATTTGTCTTTTTTAAAATACTCCTATTAATCATGTGTATTAATTAGAACTATTTTTTGATAAAACATTTAACATGTGTAACTATTAGAGCGACTATTTTAAAAAAAAATGAGATACAAAATAGATTAAGATCTTATATTTAAAATCAAATTTAATATTAAATTAATTTTTATATTAAGTCCGAAGATAGTATTTAATGATCTCACTGTTTAACCGTATTCTTGTGCCATCATCGATTTTTGAATGAGCAATAATAAAAATTGCTTCATTCTCATCTTAATGGTGGCGACTATTTGTATTATATAGATATATATATATATATATATATATATATATATGCGTGAGTGGGGAAATTGTTGTAGTTTCATTCCAGTACGAACTACCATGGGCTGATATGCTGACCACTGGTGCCACGACGTGACATCGTTTGTGATGTTTTGTGCTTTATAATAAAACAAAACCTGCAAATATATATATATATATATATATATATATTTAGGCCAGTGATTATAAAATTGGCTCAGGTAGTTTTATTTTCTGTCATTCATATATTGTGTCTGTTTTTAGTTTTTATCCTATGGTTCATGTTCTTGTTATACCATCAACTTTACATATTTGACTCTTAGACTTTGTTGATTCATAATATATACATTATATGTCGGGTAATAAAATATTATATTTTACGGGAAACAAAAGCGCTTTTAAAATTGTTCTGATGTGGAAACACCCTGATGCACAAATATATATATATATATGGGTCTTTAAAGTTCTATGGAAGATGTGTGTTTATAGGATAATATAACTGAGATTCTCTCAAAAGCCAACAAATATATAAAATATGATTTTTTTTTAAGAAACATTCAAATTGGACTTGGCAGAAATATACACTTTTCAGAAATCCAGAAAAACATAGGAACACTTTTTTCTTTTATTTGAGAATACTCAAGAATACTAACTTTTTCTTTGGGAATGGGAGAAAAAGGGTATGATATTCTTCTGAAATAAAAGTAATTTCAGAGGCAAGTTTTTTTTAAGATCCCGTTTGGTAGAGCGGTAGAAATCCCTTATAAACACGTTTACGTAAGTCGAAATAAATTAAATCTCTCTCATATACTTGTCTTGTATTATTTAAATCACTATTAAAAAGTGGTTTATAAACTATTTATAAGTTGTTCCAAACATACCTTAAATAATGGTTACAATTCATCACGTGGATTCTTTCCACTGTAATGAAACAGTGGGACGTGTAGTCCCTGTCGAGTGTGGACACTTGCGTGGTGCCACTTTTAAATATTCTTCTTCCGTCCTTTTTTAAATAATAATAATAATAATGTTATAAAAAATCCATACAAATTAAAGAAAATAGGGCACATTATATTAAGTAGGCTGTTTAATCTTAACGATTCTATTGAGTGCTTCCTCTAAATCCCATTTAACTCCTGCAAAGTTTGGGGCCTTCAGAAATGCCACACACCCCACAGACCATAGTTATACAGAACTGGTGAAAGCAGAGGGAAGGGACGGAAAAGTACATTTCTTTAGGTAATTCTAAATGTTGGATCAAAATTTTCCTAGTCATATATAATTAATACGAAGAAATTAAAATTCAGTTCGATTATCGGTTGGTCGTACTGGTCGATAACACTAGTGGAGAATATACATAATAAAGGAGAAAGAAGTTCTGAATGTAATGATATAGAGTTGGGATAATAATGTTGATGAGTGGAGGCACGGACCCAGATATATAACACATAAGAAGGCATACCCATGATTAAGCTTCCATTTTTTATCAGTATCAGTACATAATAATCATGATTAGCTAAATCATAATTGTATTTGGGCATAATAAGGTGCATCAGCCATATATTTAGGATATCTTTTGTGTTTCTTCATATCTAGCAGCCTCTTCCCTTGGCATCCCCCCGCTGTCCAATCTGGTTTGAGGTGCATAATTATTATATAGTGCTTTCACCTCACTTGTCTACTTCGTTTGGCCGCCATGTTATATCAATCACTTATAGTTAGTCCTGTTTATCTCTTTTCATAATGCTCTCTATGTATATCATCAAGTCCAATTCATCATATTGACTATAATTATCATATAATCCACTGGCGCGATTCATGAAATGTTATTATTTTTCTATACAAATTAATTTTATTTTATTTACAATATGTGGAATTATTTGTAAATGTATAATCCAAACTTCTTCAATCATGATATATGCATACATATTTTAAAAAAATCGGAGACATGCTATGAAATCTGTTGATATAATTCTTCCTATAATTTAAATAAAAAAACACGTTTTTTTTTTTAATATAGAGAGAGGGACAAATGGGTATAGAGTGGCGAGCAGAGCCTCATGTCCAATTACATAATCATGAAAAAATTAACCTAGTTTTCAAGTTGAGATCACTCAATATAATTTTTTTTTTAATTTTTTCCGCTCCACAGTTCAAGGAATTTAGTTGGTATATAAAAAAGAAGAAAAGAAGAAGAAAACAAAACAAAAGCAGCGAAAATGCGAGTCCTTTTCATTCTCCGACAAACAGACGTACAATGTAGATTACCTAGTGGTGCCAACTTGGGTGCCTTTGCTCACCGGCCTGTGCTAGCCATCTGCCATGAGCCTGGCTCAGATTGCTACTATACACCCGTCCCTTTCCATTTCTATCTCCTGATTCTTCAATTTCTTGATATTTTAATTTGGAAACTGATGATGCCTCCATCTATATATATATATATATATATATATATTAATCCCCTTCATAATCTAATTCCATTATTCATTATATATAATATTTTGGATCCATATCTTCTGCCATGACTCCATCATTTACCCAAACGCCACCCATAATTAACTTTAATTCTGCCAGGATTCTCGGAATTCTTTTCATTCCATACACTCTTAACTAGAGATAAGCAGGACCCAGTATCTACATATTACCACTGTAACTTCTGGTTCCTTGTATATTATATTATTTATTATAGACTTGAGCCGTACGTTTCTCCCCATGGAACTGTGTTCTTTTCCTCATCCTTATCCTCATAGAACATAATGTCTCTCTCTTCTGATTCATCGAGCTGTTCAGTATTCAGTAGTTGAGTCTTTTCAGCATATATAAGCACCTAATCCTTGCTTAAACAAGTACACATCGGTTTTAGCTTTAAATAAGGTTAATTATGCGTGTCTCATTTCATGTGAGGGAGATACGACAACTTATTAAACTCAATCTTGCAATTTTAA